GACTGCAGTATAGACTCTCTCTCTGTCTCCCCCTGGTGGCTGAAGATATAAATGATTGACAGCTGAGCCCTGCTCAGCGTATGGGTGGGACCTCGATACTGCGGCGCCGACCCCAATCAATACTGCACAAACTCTGGCTCTGAATGGAGAAAGATGGCAGCGGACATATCCGGATATTCTGACTAAGTACAGTGGGAGGAAGTGGAGACGTCGGCCATGGTTACATGAGGATGGTCCAGTGTATGAATTTACGTTCATTGTGTGTGTTTACTGTCAGATTCTAGACTCTAATCCACCTCCTGCAGTATCTTCAACCCTTCAGTGCCCCCCTGTGTAGGCTTTAGTCCTCCTGTCTGTTAAAGACCAGATCTTGTACTGTTACCAGGGTCAAACTGAGTCCTGAACGTGGCCCCAGTACCTGCCGGTTCAGACCCTGACGGTTCAGGACCTGCCGGTTCAGGACCTGCCTGTTTAATACCTGCTGGTTCAGGACCTGCCGGTTCAGGCCCTGCCTGTTTAATACCTGCTGGTTCAGGACCTGCCGGTTCAGGACCTGATTCTCTGTAGTGAACAGAATGAACAGTTTCTTACCTTCAGGATGGCTGATGGATTGACGGCAGAATCAGCAGCAGCAGCAGAAGAAGAGCAGACGATGGTTAAACACAGAAACAAACATGTTTATTATTATTGATCTTTATCAGCTGATCACTCCTTCATCACTGTTTTCATCACTTCACCATGAGTTTGTGGCAGTGAAGTCGTCATGGTAACAGAGGGACTGCTACGCATTATATATATTTAATATTACATATAATTTAATATTAAATATATATTATATACATTAAATGTTATATATATATTATATAATATTTATATTATAAATTAAATATAATTTTATATAATATTTATATATTATATATTATTATGATTATATTAAACACATATAAAGTGAATCTTTACCTTTGCTGCTCTTCAGTATTTGTTTGGTCGGCTCTGACAGAGAAGTAAACAAACAATATCAACAGAATATATTGATAAAAGAAACCAACAGATGAACAGGAAGTAGTTCCTGTTGTTTATGTTTGTGTTTACCGGACTGTCGTCGTCCCTGACGAATGTCTTGTGGAAACTCATCAGACTGACAGGAAAGAGCTTTCTTCAGCCGCTCAGGGCTGTACCGATACCTGGGAGGATCTACAGGTGGAAAAACAACAACATGAGAAACAACAACAAACAATGTAAACGACAACAACAAAGCAACAATATGAAAAATAATGGATCCTCTTACAATCAGAGTAGATGATATTAATGAATGATGTATTAATTATTAATTAATTATGTTTAAAAAGTTTCTTTCCCTTTGTTGTCTTCTAACAACAAACATTAAATATTTACTTACATATAGGATTCATTTCCAAGATGGCGTCTTTAGCCTGAAACCAGCAAGACAACAGACATCAAACACTCTGATACTGGTGTGTACACTGGTCGTTATACTGGTTATATTGGTTATACTGGTTATAATACTGGTTATAATACTGGTTACATTGGTTATAATACAGGTTATACAGGTTATAATACTGGTTAATCTGGTTATATTACTAGTTATAATACTGGTTATACTGGTTACATTGGTTATAATACTGGTTACAGTTGTGATTATACTGGTTATATTGGTTATAATACTGGTTATATTGGTTATAATACTGGTTATACTGGTGTCTGACCTTCTGTGGGATGATGGCGTGGTGGTTTTCCAGAATGATGCGTTTAATGTGATGAGCCCACAGCTTCTTCTCCTCAACCGTCTTTGCCTGACAACATTAAAACATTTCATCAGCACAGATTCAATGTGATCATCACCAGGATGAGCAGGAGCAGGAGGAGCAGGAGGAGGAGCAGGAGCAGGAGCAGGAGCAGGAGCAGGAGCAGCAGGAGTAGCAGTAGGAGCAGGAGGAGGCGGTCTCACCTGGACGGTGTGAGGTTGTTTGGGATGTTTGTAGTGAGTGACGCTGAAGCTCAAAGAATCTTTGGCGCTTTCAATCAGCATAAGAGTGGAACACTGAAACCAAAGTTGATCAATAATAACACATCAGAGTGATTACTGGAAGGAAACATGCTTGTTTTGTTTATTATTTTTCTTCCTCAGATTCTTTTAGAGAATCATCTAAATCAATAATCAATAATCTGCATGTATCTAACATTTATTGATTATTAGCTCATTGTTAACCTGCTAATAACTTCTACTAAAGAACTGCAGAACATCATTTAAATAAATCTCAAAAACCAAATGAATTCAAGTAAAAAACGTTATTGATTATGATTAATATGATTGATACTTGGTTTTCTGTGGAAATCATGAAGCTCTACAGCAGGTTCTGAATGCCACTATAACATTTCCATTTAAATCTCCTCACAGATATGTGCGTCTTGTAGACGAAGTGTTCCCCGCGGCGTTTGGTGATGAGCAGCATGCGGTCGAACAGGAACAGCGTTCTCTCGTTTTTAGCTCGATGAACTTTGAAGGTTCCCTCCAGAACCAGTTCTCCGTACGTGGTGAGGTCCGGACCTTTCCAGTTCAGCAGCAAAGACTGAACCTCCTGCAGGACACATCGAACAAAAGACCCCTGATTAAATACATGTTTGCATTGATGCTGTTAACCTAGCCTGAAGCACTTTGCTAACATTAGCTAACTGAAGATGTGACAGGAAAGAAGGAAGTTGACAGAGGCTCAGCTGTTGGCAGAAGGCTGTATACAGTATAACGTTTCCCTCTGAGCTGCAGTAAGTAGAAAGTGATGAAGAATGTTTGTATTTGTTCTTCAGCACCGACCTGCAGTCTGACGGCGTGCTCGTGTTTCCTCTTCATGTCGTTGATGTACCAAGCGACTCCCGTCATGGTGTAGATGGCCTCCTCCACCACCTCGTAACCCTCCTCCTCCGGGTCAAAGTGCTTCGCTATCTCCTGCACAAAACCATCATCACCATCATCATCATCATCATCATCATCATCTTCATCATCTTCATTACCATCATCATCATCATCATCACCATCATCATCATCTTCATTACGATCATCATCATCATCATCATCATCATCACCATCATCATCATCATCATCACCATCATCATCATCATCACCATCACCATCACCATCATCACCATCATCATCACATCACCATCATCATCATCACCATCATCATCATCATCATCTTCATTACCATCATCATCATCATCATCATCTTCATCACCATCATCTTCATCACCA